GTACAAACAAAATTACCATCAATAATATAGGATTGAGAAATCACTGCAGATGACGATGATATTAATGGTAATTAAAATAATTAATAGTGATATAATAATAATAATTAATAATAATAGTAATAATTAATAATACTACTAATAATAATAAAAAATAATAATAATTAAATTTCCAGTTCATCGATATTTCTCAGAATAATAACGTAGATTTCACTGTTAAAATTAATATGGACAATATTTCCTGTAATCTATGCTTACTTTAACTACTTTTTAAATGTTAGATGAAGATTTTAAGATTTTTTTCTTTTCTTTTTTAAAGTATTAGTTGGCTTGATGTAGCCATAAACTATGCTTATAAAAATAGATAATTCATAATGATAATATTATCAATAAAAGTGATAATGATTATTTAGGCTTTTGTCCCTAACATAACATTCTTGGAACAAATTTTGTTTTTTCATTCATTTATATAAGCAAAAATTTGCTAAATTCAGTTTGCATTATAAAATACAAATAGAAAATTCTATTCTGATTTATGAAAAGGAACTCTCTTCCTTTTTTTAAAAAAAAAAAATTGTTCATTTTCATTTCATGTTTTCAAAGGAAGGCATCATACTTCAATAATTAGCCAAAAAATAACAAAAGTAGTTTCAAGAAAAGAAAAAAGAAAGAAAGGAAAAGAAAATGGGAAGTAATTTTTATTGCAATAAAGAAATATCATCTTCAGACAATGGAAGTAAAAAGTATTTGAATTTGAAAATATAATCAAAAAAAAAAAGAAAAAAACCAGAGACATTTAAATTTGAAAAGTAAAACCATTACTTTATTAAAAAATACAGGAAAAATGAAATCAAAACTGACTGATGAAGATTGAAATGAATAGAAATCAAATTTGATATTATTACAAATAAGGAAAATTTATAAAATAGGAGAGAGAGAGAGAGAGAGAAAGCAGAAAGGACCGTCTGGAACATTTTTATTACCAATCAAAAAATAATGAAAATGAAAATTATCAGAAAGTAATTTAAATGAAATTTGACTAGCAAATATATCTGTTGACTCTGTGAAATTTCAATAAACAAAATCAATATTCTTTTTCTTTTTTCTTTTTTTTTTTTTTTTACGACAAATGTAATCCTTAAATTTAAATTCTAAAAAACAAAAAAAAAAAATAGTAATATAGTAATGAAAGTATATTTTTATTGAAGCTCATACTTACTTTTGCACTATATTCTTTGCTCATTAATAATAAAAAAAAAGTTATAGTAGCGGTAGGTAAAGAAACAAATTTTTTTTTAAATGAAAATGTTGGCAAACAAAAATATTGTTATCACTAATGCAAATAACCCTTTTCAAATTTAGTAATTTAAAAATCAGCTAGATGAAACAAATCTAATAGTTAATTTTACAATGAAAAATGAAAAAATTTAGGAAAGTTATGAATGTGCTTTTTTTTGCTATATAATCCATGTTTCAAACACAATGACACGTGATAATTTTGTGCTGATTTTTGATTTCGCAGCAAAACACTGAAGAGGATATCTAATAACCAAAAATTATGAAGCAAACAATTTGTTTACTGAAATATAAAATTTATCAACAAATTTTTATTATATAAAAAGCACAAAGAAAAAAGAGAAATACAAAGTGACAATATATTTATTATAAATTAATTTAACTGATATACATATATGTTATCAAAGATCCCGAACAAATTTACAATGTTAATTTATTTAAATTTTTGGTTTAAAATGAAAACAAAGAAAAAATATTATTATCATTTTTTTACATAGTTCTTTTTTTTTGTAAAATAAAATTGAACATTAATCGTTCTAATCTATATACCATTTAAAATTAATAATAACCACTGATGATTTTACAGCAAACATTAAATAGAATATATAATAATTAAAAAATTATGAAGCAAATAATAATATGTTTCTTTTACACATATTTCACTTTTTTTTTTAATACACAGAGAGATATTTGTAAACAAAAATGAATAAATGGATTGTATAGGTGAGAAACTGATTTTTTTTTTAAAAAAAAATAACAAAAGCGAGAAATTTAAAAATCAATTTCAACTGAAAAATAAAATAATAAAGAAGGTACCATTAATTTATATACATTTTTTCTTTTTCATACAGATAAATATTTGTAAATAAAAATGGATAAATGAATTGTATAGGTAAGAAATGAAACGAAGCAATGAAATCTGAAAAGAATGAAAAAGAAAGGATGAGGAAATCATTGAAGAAATATGTGTGTATGTTATTTTTTTTTTTTTTCTTTTTTTTCATCAATGAAAAAGAAAACAGAAAAAAAAAGAGACAATTTCGAAAACAGGTGCCACCCATTTAGCTAACATTTCATTTCTGTTCTTTTGCTATCCAAATGAAATAAACAACAACTAAAAACAACATACCTCTTTCTAGCCTTGAAATACATCACCTCTTCATGGCAAAATCAAACCAATTCATTCTAACTTTTTACTATTCTCTGTTACATTTATTAATCATTATTTAATCGCTATTTATTATCACTGTCACTATCATTTATCACATATGTTATCAAAAAAAAAAATGAAAAAATTAAATATTGCATTGATACATTATTATATATTTTTAAAGGCTAAAAAAGAAAATTTTCATTCACGCTTATTTCTCTTTCTCAGTTATATTAAAAGTTTTACCAAAAAAATTTTAAATTAAAGAAAAAAAAAACTTTGATACTGATTAAAATATATATTTTTTATGAAATCTTTTTTTTTTTTTTTTAATGATAAATGGTTATCAAATAAATTATAAATGTAAATGGAAAGAAAATTGAAATTTTATGAGAAATACAAAGAGAAAAGGATAAATAATTAATGAAAGGAAGAAGAAAATGAGAATGCAACGAAGTTAGCAAATGTATTATTAGCATTAATATAAGCATATATGCTTATAATTGTTAGCACTATTCGCATTAATTATACATTACTTTTACACTATCATTCATTCACATAATCAATCAATAGCGATGATTGATAAATTTTGTTGTGAAATTTAAATAATATTAAAATAATAAAAATAAATGATATTTCACACTTATTAATATGTTAATTTAAAAATTCCATGTATTTTATTTCATTTGATTTAATCAATTATAGCATTCGTTTTAACTTATAACATCATAGTTTAATTTATAACTTATAATGCTTATTTTCGGTCAATCAATATTTACAATTTTTTTTTTTTTAAAGGACCAAATTATCGTTTAAATTATCAATTAGTAATATGAAAAATGTCCAAATATTTAGGAAATTTTGTCATCTAAAATAATCAACAAAGAACAATAATAAGAATCCATAGATTTCTTCTATTCAAATAACGGAAAAAAATTTCCTGAATAATTGAGAAAAAAAAAATTAGTTAAACTTTCATATACTTGAATAAGCAATAAGCATCATTAAAAAATAATCAGCAAGGAACAACACAATTTAGACTTCTTCCCTAAAAATATTTATTGAAAGCTAAAATTTTACTTTATTTGGGAGAAGGGGAAGTGAAGGAAAAATGCATCAGTAATTTTCCATTAACAAATTCATTAAAAATAATTGATATCTTTTTCTTTTTCTTCTTCTTCTATATCATCAGAAATGAGATTTGTTGTGGATATGAGATGCAGCATTACCGATGAATCATACATACATCATTACTTTCAATTATTTAACAATTTTGTATACTTCACGAAAAATCGATTCAGCAATTAGGAATTTTATTGGTTATACAATATTCCCTTAGGTATATGAAAACTATAATACAAGTAAAATTTAAATACAACAACCAATTAAAATTAATGTTATAAAAAGAAAAAAGAAATGTACTTTTTTCTAAAAATAAAAAAAAAAAAAAAAAAGATGGAAATACTGTTGAAATATAAGGCAAATCAATTGGAGCATTAGTCTATTTAGAAACAAATAATAAGAAAACTAACATTTAATTGTTATTGTAGCTAATTTCATACAAAAACTACTTAACTTATGAACAAAAAATAATTACGATGACTAGAGGAAAGTATAATATAGGATGAAATCATGGTTTTTCACTTATATGATGATTATCATTATTTACGCCGGATATAATAATGATTTTTTGTTGTTGCTAATTAATAAATTATCACCTAAACTACAGTAGATTATAAAAAAACTAACTCTACCTCAATTTGATAAGGTTAAGATTTAAGTTTATATAAGCCATGCCATGTGTGTCATTTCGTGAATAAAAAGTGAATTAGTAGCTTAGATGGAGAAACCAATTTCAGGAAATGTTGAATTAAATGATGCGAAATTTATGATGATGCTGCATAGACGACAGAACTACAATAGCTAGCATGAAAAAATTTTATTGCATTGAATTATGTGATCGAAATTTTAAGCCTGATAAATTTCATTACAAATATCATTTTGAGCGAATTAGAATCATCGTAAATACGATATCTGATCACAAGAATCACACTAGCTGTGCATTTCCAGAAAGATACTTCAGGACCAAATGGTGATTTATCTTGAAAGTGAATTTCGAAATTTCATTGCCTTAATAATTAATAATTGATAAAATAGAACAATAATGGAATGTTGATAATAGAAATTAACGAGAACACTTTCAGGTATATAAAAGAAAAAGAAAAAAAAAAGAAATGAAAATAAAATGAATAATCGGAATAGAACAAAACATGAAACATAAGTTAACAGTTACGAAAATAAATACTTATCTAGTATTAAATAGATATTCGAAACAAATTAAAAAAAAAAATATATATATATATTATATATATCAATGCTATTATTTCTTTCTTTCTTACACATAAGTGTCAATATTATAACATGTTATGAAGAAAAAAAAAAAAAAAAGGAATCAGAATTTAAAAATTATAATAAAGTTTCAAAATCACAACCACTATTATCCATTAATTATCTCAAAATAGCAATGAAAGATAAAAACGTTTTCCCCTGTACAATGTTATAGTTTTTGCACAAATGAAGCTGGAAAGAAACCGGTTCGTTCATCCTTCATTCCCAAACTCCAGTTCAAATGATCCGGACCACTAAGCACTGTAATTTTTTCACCTAAAATTATCAATTAAAGCTTAAATATCCTGTAAATTTTTTTTTAAATAAACAATTAATAAGATTAATAAATAAAAAAAAAAAAAAAAAAAAAAAAATTAATTGGTATTATAACGTATAACATGCTAATGAATGTACTATTTCGATAAATGATATTAAAGATATTTTGCTGCTTATCAAAAAAAAGAGAAAAGAAAAAAGAAAAAAGGAACGAGGCGAGCAGGAAGAATAAAGGAGAGAAAGGGAAACGGAAAGAGAGAGCGAGAGAGGGAAATGGATGAAAAAAATAACATAAAAATTAGAGATGATAATTTAACACTAACGTTCGAAAGTCTAACTAAAAAGCCAATCCAACTAAAAACCAAAAAACCAATAAAAGATAAAAAGGAATAAATAACAAAAAAAAGGAAAAAAAAAAATGAATCAGAATGCATGCGAAAATAAGAAAATTATTTTGTTCCTATTAATTCACTGTTAATTGATGTAAAAATTTGAAATACCTTTCTTAAGAGATAATTCATCATCATCCTGAGCAACATAATCATGAAGTACTTTTGCTGTATAAGGTTTAACATCTTCGGCAGGTAAGGATTCACCAGGATTACTGCCCGCATTATCCATATCAATAACAATCAATGAGGACTGATTACTATGTGATTGTATCAAGACTGATGAAGACGGTTCCTTGCAGTTTGGTGTAATAGTTGATTCAGTTTTATTTTTCGACAATATTCCATTAGCATGATCCACAGAGGCTTCTCCAACGTCAGGAATCTTGAATTTCAGGATTTTAAATTTTCAAAAATAATCTTCAAAAAACACCTACTGAAGCCTTAATAAAAATATTGAAAAACGTCATTTTTTTTTCTTATTTTCTGCTACTATTGTGCAAGCAATAAATCTTCTTTATATCATGATAATTCATCATTAGCTTTCAGGAATGAAATATATAATTATTGTAATAACATTTACCGATGCTTTAGGAGGTATATAACTTGGCGCCATTAATTGATTATTTTGGGAGACTGAATTCGGAGTTGAATAAATTGAATTGCCATAACCATCATCATCTTTGAATGTTTGTTTCATAAGAACAACTTCGCCATCCTTTTTCTTTTTCCGGGATGTAATTGAGCTCAATGACGGTATAAACGGCTAGAATCAGTCATTTATTAATTATAACATATTCAAGATATGATTAGAAATGAAATGGGTGATTGCCAAGAAATATATTTTATGCATAGCCACCGGTTCTATTATAAACTTACTTCAAAAACTGGCCATTTAGTCTCACATTCAGGACCATACTTTTTCGACCAATTTTCCAAGTCTTCACTGAAACGGGTATTATCTGTGCCAAGCTTCTTCTCCAAATTACGATGTAAGTGATTTAGCCTGCAAGTATATAATAATATTTCCGTATTTATCACATCTCATCATAAAGTAATAAATAATAATAACATAGTAATGCTACAAAATACTACACTCACACAATACCGTAAATTTGATAATTAATCACAGACCTTAAAATAAATAAATAAAGAACTGCTCAATGAAACAAAAAAAAAAAAATCCATGAAACAACACGAATATAATATCATGAATTGGTACTCAAATAATTATTTAATATTTCGACTTCGCAATGAGCTAGATCTAAATAAATGTTATTATTACTTCGTGGCAGATGCTAAATCACAGCACACTTTTTGTAGATTGGAAAGCATCTCGAAAGTAAATTTTAAACGTTTCAGTTCCTTCATTTGACAAGCTTCAAAAACCTAAAAAAAAAATTTATTGATATTTCGATAAGATTCCACTTTGTTTTGCCTTGAAAAAGTTTTGTAAAAACTATAAGCCAATTTGAAAATGAAAACACAATTATAATTAACATTTGTGTAAAGATTTTTATAGTGTATATATGTATATAACTTACATCATTCATGTGTGACACATAGTTCTTCTTCAAGAGGTACAAATCATCCAGTGTAGAACGGTAAACTTTTTCAGATTTCGCTAGCTCATCTTGACATTTCTGATAACGATCATGATATCTTGATTGCATATCCGGTGAGAGTGCTGCATCGCCACATGCATTCTTCATCTGAATTTATTTTATAAATAAACTATTTGAAAAAACAAATCTCAAAAATATTTGAAATCGAAACTTTGAAATTAAAAAAAAAAAAAAAAACAAAACATAAATGTAAGCGTTCTCCATCTAAAGCTATATTTGATCTTCTTATGTAATTTTAAATGAACGAGAGAATTCAATTTTTACCTGTATTTGGGCTGAACGTTCTGCTCGTGCAGCTGTATGATACGCCTTCTTGGCTTTTTCAACTTTTTCGAACTGTCGTCGCCAAGATCGCTGTGCTCTCTCAAAATCATCTTCAACTTCACGTGTTTCTTTCGATGCCCGAAATGCCGATGGATGATGATTTTCTTTCAGATAAAGTGTAACTGTCTTCAGAATCTAAAAGGAAAAGTTACTTTTTGTGATATTCAAATTTACCTGGACTGTTGTTCAATTCAATGTTTACAATGACAACAATTTTATACGATAACAACAATTCCATGATGGACGTAATCGTATAGCAAAAAACCATAATGATAGTTCATACAACGGTAAAATTTAATTATTTGCTATTAAAAAATATCGTTGCTTCTGCGGTAATAGATTTCAACAAATAACAGTAACAAAAAATACATAAATAAATAAACAAATAATGTTTAAAATGAATGTAGTAAAGTTTTATAACTACCAACAAGAAAAGAAATTCATGAAATTGTAAAAATCTTTTTTAATATTTGAAAAAAGAAAATGCAACTGCATACAAAAACATGTATCTAATTTTAATTTAACAAATTTCATATCTAACTGAATCATTCGTATCTGAAACGAAAAATGAACGTAACGTAAAACTACTTTATAAAAATATTCATTTCTCGATGAAGTATAACAACAACTAACTTCATCACATATCCGATCTCGAACATTTGCATGCAATCGTTGTAATTCCATGCTTTCCTCCAGGACATCATTCCAAACTGCTTGTATCGCTGATTTTGCTAAACCACCAACATGATCAGACCATTTATCGTAGTAAATTTGTAAGCATTTACTGTAATTTGTTTCAATATCCATTCTTTCCTAAAATAAAAATCGTATACCTTGAAATGATTAAAATTAATAGAAATCTGTCAAACAAACAAACAAACAAAAAAATACAGCAATATTATTATTGAAAAGAGTATTTATTCCTTAATAATAATAATAATAATAATAATAATAATAATAATAATAATAATAACGACAGATCTTACTTAATTTCATCCATATTTTAATCTTTGATGATTGATTAAAATATATTTTACACAATTAAACAATTAAATATATTTTAATAGTTCACTTCAAAATATCTATAAGACTCTAAGAGATTATAATTGAATATTTACTGGATTACGAATGCAAGGAAATGATAATATCATATGTACATTAGAACTTCTAATAAGAGATACACGAAGAATTGTGCAAATATGGTAAAAATAAAAAAGTAAAAAATGTTTCAGGGGAAAAAAAAAAGAAAAAATAAAATAATTAACCTATAAAAACTTACCTTTGCTGCAAATTTGAAATTTGTATTAGCTGCAGAAATTATTATAAGAAAATGTGAAGAAAAAAATGAATGTAAATAAAAATTTCTAAACAAAAAAAAAACCTATAATACAATTGAATAAAGAGAGAATAAAAAAGAAAAAGTGAATTTTAATAACTAAGATAAGAATGAAAATATTCAAAAAAACTAGAAATGTGAAGTCTGATAACATAAAAGTACAAGAAAAGAAATAAAAAAAACGAGAGAGAGAGAGGGAGAGAAAAAAAAAGAGAACCTTAATCATTGTTTGAATATCAATAAGTTGTTCAATACCATCCTTATAACGTCGAACATTTTCACGATATCCGCCAATATCGTAAAATGACGTCGTATCTGACATATCTTTAAAAAAAAAAAAGTGAGATAATATTGATTGATGAATATCTAATAGCGAAAAATGTTTCATTATCAAACGATAAGTATTATTCCAAACAAAAAAATTTACACTACTACTATTTTTATAGTTTTAAAGAAAAACTTAATGGAAGAGAAAAATTATTAATGCTTAATTTTAACTTTTATAAATCAATCGAAGCATAATTTTTTCATTTCTTCAAACATTAGTCATTGCAATGCACTTTACCTTACTAGAACAAACTTTTGGGGACAAAATATTGCTTAAAATGAAAACATTTTTGTTTTCTTCAAAATTTCATATTTGAAAATAAATCAAATTTAAAAAGTAGCAAGATCTCGAAACATCGATTGTGACTAATTTAAAAAAAAAAAAAAAACCTCACATTTGGATTAATCTCAAAACTATTTACCACAATAAAAAAAAAAAAAAAAATTCATGACTTTCGAGTGAATTTAACATTCATTTGTTAAAGAATGAAAAAGTTTATATTACTGTTCAAGTTGAAAAAAGTTCAATTTAAATATATACTTAAAAGAGGGAAAAATTACATTATGAATAATTCATATTCATCATTTAGTAAAATTAATTATTTCATATTCTTAAACATCTAATTAATTCGTAATCATAATGTGCTATCTATCATTTGCTAGCGTTTATGTTATTCATCGTATTTTAATGAGAATTCAAAATTTGTCATAATTCATGGCACAATGTAATGATATCAATTAAGTAGAGTAATAGATGAACAGTTAGTAAATATATGAGAAATAATAAAATTTTAGATTTCAAGTTATTCAAGATAATTGGGAAAGATAGGGGAAAAAAATGTTTAAAACAGGGTTATATATTTTAAATCAGAATATTAAATAAGAAGAGGATATCATTAAATAATATCCAAATGTAAAATTATACTTAATAAACTGAATTATACTTTCAAATAGTTAACAGTTTATTATGCATGCAAATATGTGAATCTGTTAGTATTACGGCTTAACTTAAGGTTTAGGCTTACCGATACGTTTTACGTGAATTTGTTAGCATTACGGCTTATCTTAAGTTTTAAGTAAGCTTAAGAATGCGTTTTTTCTTTCTAAGATATTGGGAATTTTCTTCATTATTTAACATTAATAAACTAAAGACATTTAGTGAAAATGTAAATAGAAATAAATAAATTAGTAAACAAATGAACAAATGAAACAAACAAACAGTACATGTGCAAAAAAAAAATACCAATGAAATAAATGATTTGTTGAGTTAAAAAAGAAACAAAAAAAAAAAAAAAAAAAAAACAAAGAAAGAAAATTGTACCTACAAATAAACCGCACAATTTATACTATTCGTTAGTCATCAATAATGTATTAAACAATTATCATGTATTATATTTAAAAAATTTTTTTTCATAAAAATTCATTATGCAAAATTTGTAAACAAATAACAAACGAAAAGAAAAATTAAAAGAAATGAAAAAGTGACTATTGTTAGTAATAAATAATATTCAATAATGATCAAAATTAGATGCAAACATATATTGTTATACAACAAATAACAATAACATATTATCGCTGTTACTGTTACTACTATTACTGTTATTGTTGCTGAAATTTAGGTAATAGTAGTAGTAGTAGCAGTAGTAATATTAGTAGTAAATAGTGGAAGTAGTATTAGTAGTAATAGTAACAGTAATAGTAGTAGTAGTAGTAGTAACTAGTTATCTAGTAATAGTAGTAAAAATGATAGAAACAGTAAAATAATTTGAAATGATGGTAGTTGTAATTAGTAATGGCAATACTAGTTAGTAGTAGTAGAGAGGAGTGAATAGCGATAGTAGGTAATAGTTATTAGACAGTAGTAGGAGAGAAGTAGAAGTGAAATGAACAGTTCAGGAATATATTACAGATATAGAGGGATATAGGGAGAGATAGGACATAAAAGGTAGAGGAGGTACAGGTTAGAGGGATAAATAATTTGAGGTAATAATAGCTAGATGACCTTGAATAGGAAATGAAAGGGATTCAAGAGATGGGAAAAAGGGTTGCTTGAAGTGATGAATAATAAGACGTTAATCAATGCAATGGTTTGATGATATACATAGAGATTGATAGTGTCGCGTCTACACTCAAAACATCGTTGCTACAGCAACAATAAGGTTAGCATTATCATCGTCATCATTGTTACTATTGTTTATAATCATTATTTATAATCAGTGCTGTTATTACATTCATCATTAGCGCTAATACGATTACTATCACCAGCAGCACTACAATCAATACTGTTATCATTACCATCTTCATTATTATTATTATTAGTGCTGTTATTGTCATTAACATCATCATCACCAGCAGCACTACAATCAATACTGTTATCATTATTACCATCATCGTTATTATTAACACTGTTACAATCAACAATCAATACTGTTACCATCATCATCATCATCATCATTACAGTCATTATTTTTACTACCATCATCATCATTGTCATTAATTAATTATATTGTCATCGTCATCATCCTGACTCGTTATTATTATGATCATCATAATTATTATTAAATAGAATACAAATTACTTTATTCTATTAACAAATTTTACCTTATATTCGAATAAAGTTTGTTTCTTTTCTTTTTTAACCTTCTTTTTTCTTTTTAAATATTAAATGATATTACAATTAATATTTAGGTATAATAAAGTGGATCATATTTTATGTTTTAAAAAACATGTATTATGGATATTGAAAAAAAAAAAAAAAAAAAAAAAAAACGAAAACCAAAACATATTAATGCAGAAAAAAAAAAGACAAAATGCATTTTTGTCATATTTACAATGTAAACAAAAATTACGTTTTAGCAAGATTCAAAGGAAAGAAAAAGGAACAAGAAAACGACAAAAAGAATAAATTTCAAATGTTAGAGATTAAATTTGAAGGAAAAACTAAGTTAATCAATATGACAGTCATTTATTACAGGTAAATAATATATTGCTTCATTTATTCTGACTAATTCATAATATGTTTAAATTTTTTTTCAAAAGCAAAATTATTTCATTCAAATATATCAAATGAATTTGAATGAATAATTAATAGTGTTGCAATTAATACAAGAAAATACAGTGATAAAAAGCCTCTTCTTTCTTCTTATTATTATCAAATTACAATTATCAGCTTATATCTTCTTATTATCAAATTACTTTTGAATATATATGTATATATTCAATATAGGTACAAGAATAAGAAATCAAAATCTGTTGTACCTCATATATCATATCATATCATATCTTAACATATATATCATATCATATCATAGCTTTTGACATTTAGCTCACGCATATCAGGCATAATTATTCGACATTTTCCACTCTTAGACAATAAGCTTTTGCTTGTTACCTAAAGTGAATAAGCATGATGACAATAACTTCATCATTCAACATAACTGATAAACTTATTGTTTTTAATTTTTAATAAACAAATTAATAAAATTTGAAGCCATTATCAATAAAATAAGGAGGAATATAAAAATTTTCAAAAATTTCAACAATGATTTCAGAAATATCAGTTTAGCAAAGTGTTCATTTATACCAATCAGTCATTTATTATTGTATTTGTGGAAAAAAAAAAATAAAATAAAATAAATAAATAAAAATAAAATAAAAGAACGAACAACAACTTACAAGGGTGAACCGTTTATTTTTATTGACAAAGCAAAGAAACAATATATTAAAATATTAAAAAAATGAAGACAAAAGCAAATATGAAATGCTAATTTTCAGATTAAATTTAAAATGGTAAAATCTCAAAATAACAAAACACTGTGGGTGAATTAAATGAGATAAAAGAAATTGCAAGAGAGAAAAAAAAGTTGAAGGTAGATTTAAACATTAATTTAAATTATAAAATGGCGAGTATTCAATTTGTTTATCATTCATTTTTTCTTTTAATTAATAACTTTTGCTTCTTTTTTCTTCGTCATCTTCTCCTTTTATCATTTTGTTTATAGTTGATGTGCATGTTCTCAACTTTTCTCTAATTTTTTTATACGTTATAATCATGTAAAAGTACAAAATAAATGATGAGAGCATGAAAATTGTTATGAAAAATTGGAAAGAATTGTTCATTTTGAAAAAATTACTAAAAATTATCTAAGATTATCTAAATAAAAATAAGGATTACCTGCGGATAAATCAATAGGATGAATAAGAAAGAAATTGTTATGGTATGATTACTGCATTATGATATTTTTTAATTTATCAAAGTATCATGAAACGAATGATAATATAAGATATAGTATGATGATTTAACTTATGATAATTTCAATTATTTCAAATATGTTTCCAAAAAAAAAAAAAAATAATAATGCTAACATTTATCCATTGCAATTAAATCATACAACGATTAAAAATAATTTTCATTTCTCATATTAGAATAAATTGTTGAGGCAAAGGAATAATTTAGTAAAATTGTGATGAACTAAGAAGGGAAAAAAAGAAACGGAAAAAAAAGAAAAACTCGGAATTCCTATGCACTAAGTCGAAAATTTAGAATTTAAACCCGAAAAAAAAGTTAGCTTCTTTAGCTGTGCAAAAGAAAAAAAAAAAGGAGGAAAAGATGAAAGAACTGTATAATTATGTTGAGAAATAATTATAAACTTTGAGAAGTACTACTAAATCCAATATGAATCATTTTTCTTTCCTTATTTAATGTAGTAACAAATTTCATATTAATTAAGTAAAAATTCAAATCAAAAAGATATACATATTTAAATAGAAATTTTTATCATTTTATTGAAAAAAATCCCATTTTTTTCCTTCTTTTTGAAGTTTTGTTAACAATGAATAGAAACATTAAGATGAACAATAGTAATAACAATAATAACACTTCACTAAAATTTGATAATAAAATTATAAATTAATAATTAAACTACAAATTTAATAATAAATTATAAGTGAATTTAATTGTTATATTATGGAAGGAGGGAGAGGAAGAATAAAAAA